TCTGGATGCACTAGGCCACAATTGGCCAGACAGGATACTGTATACTTTCCCCGTTACAACTGATTTGGAGGACTCTCTGTCAAGTGATGTGAAGTGAAGTCATACTTGTGTGGCCAAGTATGGTGACCCATACTCAGAATTTGTGCTCTGCATTTAACCCATCCAAGTGCACACACACAGTAGTGAACACACACACACCATGAACACACACCAAGAGCAGTTGGGGGATCGGTGCCTTGCTCAACGGTCTCACCTCAGTCGTGGTCCTTCTCCTTTTTAGCACCCAAACTCTGGAATAACCTACCTAACATTGTTCGGGAGGCAGACACACTCTGTCAGTTTAAATCTAGATTAAAGACCCATCTCTTTAACCTGGTTTACACATAACACACTAACACATTTCTAATATTTAAATCCCTTAAAGGATTTTTAGGCGGCATTAATTAGGACAACCGGAACCGGGAACACTTCCCATAACACCCGATACACTTGCTACATCGTTAGAAGAATGACATCGACACTAATATTAGTCTGTTTCTTTCTTATTCCGAGGTCTCCTTAGCCACCAGATCCAGTCTGTATCCAGATGAGATGGTCACTGCAGTCACCCGGATCCGGTCCGTATCCAGCCCAGATGGTGGATCAGCACCTAGAGAGGACTTCTACAGCCCTGAATGTCAGCGGAGACCAGGACAACTAGATGAGCCACAAAGACAGATCCCAAGTGAGGACCTTGTCTCCTAGACGGCCACCGGGACAAGACCACAGGAACCAGTTGAGTCCTCTGCACAATGTGACATTGCTGCAGCCTGGAATTGAACTGCTGGTTTTCGTCTGGTCAGAGGAGAACTGGCCCCCCGACCGAGCCTATATATAAAAAGTTTTTTTCTCCATTCTGTCACCGATGGAGTTTTGGTTCCTTGCCGCTGTCGCCTCACCTCTGGCTTGCTTAGTTGGGGACACCTAATTTCCAGCGATATCGTCGACTTGATTGCAGAGACATTATTTAAACTGAACTGAGCTGGATGATGATATCACTGAATTCAAAGATTAACTGCCTTTGAGTGTTGAGTGTTTATTGTTATCATTTTGCATTATTGACACAATATTTTTCTAATTAATGGTGTACAGTTGCTTTGACACAATCTGTATTGTTAAAAGCGCTATATAAATAAACGTGACTTGACTTGACTTCTAAACTACTTGTGTAAGCCCCCATTTGAGCCAATATCAGAGCCTGATATTAAATGGCTGTCATTTAAGACTGCATCTCTCTTGGCCATTACAACAGCGAAGAGTGTGAGTGAACTCCATGCTTTATTAGTGAGTGCTCCCTGTTTGCGTTGGAGTAATGGATTCAGTAGTGTCATATTGTGGTCCAATCCAGCATTTCTACCCAAGGTTTTGTCCTCGCATTTTATGAACCAGCCTATTGTGTTGGCTGCACTGCCAGCAGATCAAACTGACATACAACTGGATCTATGTCCAGTTAGATCTTTGAGGGCTTACATTGATAAGACAGCAGCTTGGCATAAGACAGACCAATTTTTTGTTTGTTTTAGCAATGTGCGCAGGGGTGCTATGCTTTCCAAAACACTGGGTGACGCAGGTAATCTCATGTGTATGAGTCTGTGGGGCTTTCTGTGCCTTCATCTACTCACTGTCACTCTACTCGTGCTTTTGCAACATCTTGGGCAGCGTTCAAGGGAGTGTCGCTCTCTTGAGATTTGTGCTGCAGCAACTTGGAGTTCAGCTTGTGACTTCCTTGCCAGCAGTGTGTGCTGCACTGCTATCAGCCTGTACAGATGCTTCGCAAGGGGATTACTTGTGACTGCGTAGGTATTCGTCTTTCACTAGTGCTTTCAGCACTGCCTCTGGCGGTCTGGAGCGAAAGGAAATAGAATGCTAGTTACAAACTTAAATGTGGTTCTATGACTAAGAGGAAGACCACCTGAGTTTCTGGTCACTCTGTATCACGAGAATGATCGAGATGACATGGTAAGGGGTTATTATAGCTCAAGATACATCATGAGTCATGAGGTAACAACTTTGTTATTCTGTTCTTAGTCAAGTGCTAGCATGAGGGGTTTTCCACTAGTGCTTTCAGCACTGCCTCTGGCGGTCTTCCACTTAGAACCACAGTTACGTTTGTAACTAGCATTTTCTTATGTAGTATATTTTGAAATGTAATTTATTCCTGTGATGGATAAGATTAGTTTTCAGCAGCTATTACTCCAGTCTTTAGCCTGTGAACTGGGAAAGTAATTTATGTCATTTTAATGGGTGGAATGAATCTGTACTTGACTGTCAAAAGAGTACAATTCCTAACCATATAATTCAGTTCAGAAGGTAAAGCCTTATGTGTCTTAATAAATGGGCTTTTACCAATTTATCAGCTAGATCTATTTGTATGCTGACCCATTCAAAATAATAACCACATATTTCAGAATCCACAAAATAGAGTAAAGGTAGAACAGGCCAGAGCCAGCAGCTAAGGAAGCTGTTAATTAAGCAGTAAATGTAGTCATTTTTATTGTTTTGTTATTGTTATTATGCATTTTATTCATGACATTAACAAATGAATGTTGTACTAGGTGTTGACATTAAAGTTTGACAATAAAGTTGCCAGCAAGCTCTGGAACACTGTGATCCATGTGTGTTTGAGGAAGTATTTATTTCTATATATATATATGTGTGTGTATATATGTATATCAGCTATTACTCCAGTCTTTAGCCTGTGAACTGGGAAAGTAATTTATGTCATTTTAATGGGTGGAATGAATCTGTACTTGACTGTCAAAAGAGTACAATTCCTAACCATATAATTCAGTTCAGAAGGTAAAGCCTTATGTGTCTTAATAAATGGGCTTTTACCAATTTATCAGCTAGATCTATTTGTATGCTGACCCATTCAAAATAATAACCACATATTTCAGAATCCACAAAATAGAGTAAAGGTAGAACAGGCCAGAGCCAGCAGCTAAGGAAGCTGTTAATTAAGCAGTAAATGTAGTCATTTTTATTGTTTTGTTATTGTTATTATGCATTTTATTCATTACATTAACAAATGAATGTTGTACTAGGTGTTGACATTAATGTTTGACAATAAAGTTGCCAGCAAGCTCTGGAACAATGTGATCCATGTGTGTTTGAGAAAGTATTTATTTCTATATATATATATATATATGTGTGTGTATATATGTGTATATATATATATATATATATATATATATATATTACAGTGTACATGTTTAGCTACCTAAATGGTAGGGCTAGTGTTAAGCCTGAAATACACTACAAGTCTTTTAAAATCTGAACAGGCACAAACAGTTACAGAGGAAAAACTGGGCATATCATACACTAAATGGCATTCACTACCTGACTTTCAAATTGTTCTGAACACAAGAAACTCGGCCTCGGCCAAAATGGCCTTATTTGAGAAAAAAGTCTAGTATTTTGCATCATTGGATTGCGCTGTCGGTCATTATCCCAGTGATTATGTTGACACGCATGCCATAGGTTTCCGACCCCTGGTTTAGAGTAACAGGTTGTATTTACACTGAACAAAATTATAAACGCAACACTTTTGTTTTTGCCCCCATTTTTCATGAGCTGAACTCAAAGATCTAAGACTTTTTCTATGTACACAAAAGGCCTATTTCTCTCAAATATTGTTCACAAATCTGTCTAAATCTGTGTTAGTGAGCACTTCTCCTTTGCCGAGATAATCCATCCACCTCACAGGTGTGGCATATCAAGATGCTGATTAGACAGCATGATTATTGCACAGGTGTGCCTTAGGCTGGCAAAAATAAAAGGCCACTCTCAAATGTGCAGTTTTACTGTATTGGGGGGTCCGGGGGGGTGACCACCATTTGCCTCACGCAGAGCAACACATCTCCTTCACATAGAGTTGATCAGGTTGTTGATTGTGGCCTGTGTTGGTCCACTCCTCACGACGAACTGCATTCAGGTCGAGACCCCGATGAGGACGACGAGCATGCAGATGAAATTCCCTGAGATGGTTTCTGACAGTTTGGAAACAAAAGTGTTGCGTTTATAATTTTGTTCAGTGTAGTAGCCTATATTATGTATGCAATAAAGAAGTTTCATATTTCAACTGCATGACCATTAAAATCATAAATATTACTTTTGCTCTACCAGCTGAAAAAAAATTACTTACTCTTGGGTTGAGCGATTTTTGGTAGTTTGGACTTAAGAAATTCAGCCATCTCTTTGTCCTCCTCCCGTTCCCTGTATAGCAAAGGTAACCATGGTGATTATGAGGCAATGCATTAAGGGAAGACTGACTGTATCATTCACTATTTATGCGTGGTTTTCACATCCTTCAGTTAGCTCAAGGTTTTCATATTATTGCTGGGAAATGTAATCTAAAAATATAATGTGCGTTCATGCATCATGGTTATCTCTTTCTTTGTGTGTTCATGGTATTCTCCTGGCTTTACAAAAGACTTCTTCACACTAGAAGTGAATGGTTTGCAACATGTTCCATGACTTCCATTCCAGCCTTTGAGAATTGGCTGAAAATGGACCTAAACAGTGTTTTTACAACAGGATTTGCACAGTGTCTAACTCCAGATGGACTAAAAATACACTCAGATTTTCCTCAGCTGATAATTATTAAAATTGAAAGAATACTGTCATTATCTGAAAATGGATTTTTATTATAGTTTTATTTATTTATTTATATACCAAGCAACAGCTTTCATTGTTCTGTTTAATAAGGCCAGGCCACTTCTTACCTTAACAGAAGAAACTAAATAAGCATTTACAAATAAATTATGCAAAGCAAGGTTGGACTATTTAGTGGCTTGATTAGTAGTGCATGTTGTGCTACTTTTAGAAAATTGTAAAAGCAATTGAATAAAGAGAGAGATCTCTCATTTTTATAGGTAACTTCAGTAATGGCACAGAAGAAGGAACTTTTACAAATGTACTGTAAAAAAACACTGATAGCTAAAACAGTAGTTCTTGAATTTTTACTGTAATATATTCAAGAGGCTTTCCCAGATCTCACCTGGAATAGACAAAAGCTTTTGAAGCTCTTTCTTCAGTCTTGTAATTTCTTTACATAGCTGGATATCATCCATCCTGCAAAAAAAAGGAACAGCAAATATGATAACTGTTCTAAAGCGTGAGAAGCGTTTAAAGAATCAAAAGAAGAAAAAAAAGAAAAATGAAATTTAAAATTTAAAGTAAAGAAAAAACAAAAACAAGCAAACAAAAAAATAAACAAACATAGACCAGGTAATCACATTCATGTGGTAACATCTAAAAATAATTGTTTTAATTATTATTATTAAAATTAAATTGACTTGTTAAATTAAAACTGTATACTGTATAACACTGTATACTGCAAAATGTATTTAATGGTAATTAAAACAGTAAGCATTATCCTACCATAAACATCTCAAACAGTTGTTTTCTACACTGTTGTGTCATGACCTTGAAAATAAAATTAAACGAAAGCATCCAGTTAACATTTTGTTCTCAAATTTTGTGTGAACGCATTGCATTTTGGGATGCAGTACACTGTAAGCTCTGTTGTTTACTGCTCATTTTGGCAGTTGCAGTAGGTCACCCATGCACATAGAAAATCTGCATATTATTCACAGTATACCTATTATACTGCAGTGGTAGTGAGAGTCTGAACTGATGAATTCCATGAATTCTATCTTATTAGTATTCATAGATATTTGAATGTAAAATGTACAAATATATTTTTGTACAACTGGACATGCGTTGAAACATATTGAAAACATCTATAATGCATTGAAGTGTGCACAGCTGTAAAAACATAAAAGAACAATATAGTCTACAAAACATTATATTTTAAATATATGTCCTAACTCCCCTCTAAATTTAACCATTTCTTATCAATACAAAATCATTAAAGCTACACAAGGCAGACAAATGTATTTAATAATGACAATATTTTTATGCATCAATGAAATTTCATTTAAATTATTATTTTTTTTTTAAATACAATGATTAAATTATGATATATTTCTCTTTGTAATTATTTTAGGTTTATAAACTGATGGAATCCTTCAAAATGAGTCAAATACGGCACCATAAAACACATTGAATAAAAAGAAACCATTATAAGGTCAAATGAGGCGAATGTGTAAAATATTTGTGATGGCTTTGAGTATATTTATTAATTGATTTAAACACCTCCTTTAAACAATAAAATCAAAGCATTAATTTTATGGATTAAAGATTTGATAATCTAAAAGAATTCATAAATATTTGTATACATTTACAAGTTGTTAATACATAAAATTATGTTGTCTAAAAGCAAGCAAAGATGCTGTCAATAATTTTTTTTTAACACACTGTAAAAAGTGATAACCTGCAAATGTTACCTTAAGGGATTTATACCTGATTTGAAAAAAAAAGAGTTTATTGGTATAAATTGATTTTTTTTTTTGTGATATGAAACAATATTTTTGACTTGAATAAAACCAGTTAATTAAGATGTTACCATTGTTGCAGGCTAATTGTGTCAGATAGCAGTATTTAGAGTGCATTCAGTCCCTGCATTTTAAACAAAATAGACAGTCTAATGATGAAGCTGTACCATTGGATTTCTCTCTGTATCTCTCCAGTTCAGTTGAGACAGACAGTGGAGGATGAGCACCAATCAAACACTTTGGAAGAAACGCCCCACTGATTTTGTGATAGGCAAAGCTCTTCCCCAAATGATTGTGAGGGGAAACCAATATCCATGCATTAGACACTCTGGCAGCATCAAAAGCAAAGCATTAACATTTTAATGAGGGGCAGCTGGCTGATTTTAGCTCTTGGCAATGGGAACAGGAAGGACAGATGACTGCAGATGTGATTGTGAGAAGGATCTCAGATCAGCTTTACAAACTGCTCATGGCTTTTGGATTTGGCTGTTGACTGCCAATTATAATTGACAAAAATGGTTATTACATTCATATAGTAGTTTACTGTTCATGTAGTGATTAAGTTTATCTGGAAATGTAACAAAATAAAACACTTCTGTTAATCGAAAAACATTAATGAGTACACTTTGGGTACACTTTGAACTCACAACTGTTTGACGTACAGAACAAAACCAAAACATAAATATTAATATGTAAAGTATTATTTACAGTCAGCAGGTTATTATTGCAAATAAACCCAGAAAGGGTGATCAGGACCCACCTATTACATTGCTACATACAAAATAAATACATAAATGGACCCTGAATAAATCATTTTAATTTAACTTATATATTACATGCAAAGAAAGAGACTGTAGAATGAGTCATGAAAAATAAATCTGTTGCCTAGGACAACATTTGGTTATAGAGGTTAAATGGCCATTCTAACCAAGGATGATAAATATTAATATAAAGTTTTTATAATTGTTTTAATTCTATGAGAATTGGGAAGTCCGCATCATAGCTGTAATGATAATGGCATTGTACTTGCGTAAAAGATTCTTGAAAGTGACGTGACATGTGGCCAAGTATGGTGACCCATACTTGGATTAGTGCTCTGCATTTAACCCATCCAAAGTTCACACACACAGCAGTGAACCCACACACATCGTGAACACACACCCAGCGCGGTGGGCAGCCATTTATGCTGCGCAGCCCGGGGAGCAGTTGGGGGTTTGGTGCCTTGCTCAAGGGCACCTCAGTCGTGGTATTGAAGGTGGGAGAGAGCGCCATACATTCACTTCCCCCACCTACAATCCCTGCCGGTACGAGACTCGAACCTGCAACCTTTGGGTTACGAGTCTGACTCTCTAACCATTAGGCAACGACTTCCCCTTAATGGTGCTGTATGTAATTTTTTTTTGACTGTACTCCAATATAAATAATATGCTATGTTCACATACTAAAAAGCTCTATGACCAGAGGCATATTAAAATGAGTATAATCAACTCATTAATCTACAGTGTAAGGCTCATCACCTTCCATTGTCAGTTGCGCTCTTTCCTGTTGCATATCTGGCAACCTGCATGAGTGTTGAGTCTGAGGAGGAGGGGGCGGGAGAAACAACTCTCTTCAATATTTTGAATTTGGACTGCGGTGCAGTTGACAGTATTACATACTGCACATTTAATAGTCATTATAGAAAAGTATTTGACCATAGAATGGGAAAGCCCCACAATAAATTAAGGTGTAAACTGAATATGACCAGCTATTTTATTTTACTAAAGAACATATAAAAATAATCGTGGTTAATATATTGACACTCCCAGTTACTTTTAATTTAAAAAAAGGTTGAATTATTATAGCTTGTATGAGGGGTCTAACAATCTGGATTTCATGTACTGTAAACCTACATTTTTAAATCAAACTTTTCAACTTTTCACTGGTAACATAATGTGTAAAAATGAAGAAACATTTTCACTAGTGGTCACAGACATTTGGGCCCCATGGTATACAGTTGCAATCAAAATTATTCAACTCCTCAGAGACTGCAGTATTTTACAAATACAAGCTTTTCTGAAGATCCAAGATTTTATCAAATTTGCATCTATAACAGTTTACTGACATTAAAATTGATAATATCAATATATAATTTAATATTTTTGAGTTATAGGATTTTTTAATAACACAGCTATGTCATAATTATTCAACCCCTATTCAACATTACTGTTTTTAAGTAACTTTTGTTGTATGGTGGGGAACAAAATTGTCTTAAAACACAATTAAGCCTTTAGAAACTTAGCCCATGCATGTGCTGACATGAGTAGCAAATTTGCAAAATGCTATAGAAGAAATTGTTTTATTACATTAGAAAGTCTAAGGCTACATGAAGATTCCCAAGACATTAAAAGTTCCTAGAGACACAGCTGGCAGCCTTATTCCTTAGCTTAAAATGTGTAGTACCAGAAAATCTTTTTAGGGTGTTGAAGAAAAAGCACAATATTGTAGCGTTCTCAGACAAGGACGAGGCGTTTTGATGTACAAGGGGTGTTTATTTGGGCTGTTGTCGGCCACAACCCACGCTGTACACACCCCGACTTCTAAGAGAACCGCACTTGAACCAGCGAGACACTCATTCTCCCCCCTCCTTCTCTCTCTTTCCCCTTACACACACACAGAGGTAGAGCCTCTTTTCACATCCAACTTGAACATCCAATAACAGTTCGCAACACAAAAATGAATACAGTGCAACACTAACATTAAGCACATTGTTATCTATAACACAACATGCTTGAACATGCTACAATATCATAATAAATTTGATCAGAGCAACTGAGAAAAACCTTCAATGTACAGCCAAAGACTTGCAAGATAACCTGATGAAAGGAGTAAATACATTTCAATGCAGAGTATAAGAAGGAGACTAGACAAGTATGGCCTTCGTGTTGGGGCATCTTGCCGAATGCCACATCTCGACCAAGAAGAACATAAAAGGCAGACTTGAACATGTTAAAATTAATTTGGGTAGACCTGTGGAGTTCTGGAAGAATGTTTTATGGAGCGATGTGACCAAACTGGAACTTTTGGACCCATGGATCAGCAGTATGTCTGGTGCAAAAAAAGGCAAAGCTTATAAACAGAAGAACACCATCTCCATGGTCAAACTTGGAGGTGGATCAGTCCTGTTATGGGGGAGTTGCACTATTGCGGGAAGTGGAAATCATGACTGTATGAAGGACATCAAGGATTCTTTAAAGTATCAGGCCATTTTGTCAAGAATTATGATGCCTTTGGTGCAAAGACGGAAGCTGATGATCAATGGGCTTTCCTGCAGGACAGCCATCCCAAAGTATGCATCCAAATCTACTTATGCTTAGTTCAGGGATCAGTCATAGGATGTACTTGAGTGGCCTGTCAGTCTCCAGATTTAACTCTCATTGAAAATATTTTGGTTGAATTTGAAGAAAGCAGTGGCAATGTGAAAACCAAAGATTATCAGTGATCTGAAAGCTTTTTCAGTCGAGGAATGAGCCAAGACTGCAGTAGAGAGGTGACAGAAGCTTCCAAGCATTTAAAGGCAGCTTTTATTGGTGGTTTTAAAGAATAAAAGATTCTGCACAAAATTTGACTTTTGGGGTTGAATAATTTTGAACATGAATGTTTAGAGCCAATTTGATTTGCGTCATTATTCATCAATGTTACATTCTCAGAATAACTAAAATGTGTATTAAGAAACTTTCTTTAATAGTTCACTGATGCCTTTGTTAAATTGTTTTCATAAAATGTTGTTCTCTGCAACACAATGTCTTGCAGGTCAAAGGGGTAAAGATTTACATGGACAAATCAGTTTACTCACATGTATCTGAGCTCAGATTCCCTCCTGATCAAAATGTCTCTGATCCGTTCAATCTTACAGAGTTCTCCCTCTATGTCCCCCACTGTTATAGTAGAGTCCGCCATTGAGATCACATCTGCCTCTGAAAACAAAAAACAAGACGATCTGGACTGAAGCCACACTGATCACAACCACAAAGAGCTGAATACAGCTCAGATTGCGTTCTATAGAAAATATCAAATTTAATGCAACGTCTTCTCTCTCAAGATTAGCAGTGCTTGTAAGGACTTTCTGAAAAGTGAAGTACATTTTAAGATGCACCAATCTGTTGAAATCAATTAACCATCATTAAAACCGTTGCAAGTTTAAAAATAGCTAAACTTGCTAAAAAAATAGCTAAACAACCACTGAGCCTCTTTAAATATCACGATTAAAAGAAGCGTAAACTAAACCTCTCCAATTCCTTCAGGTCTATCGTTGACTTCTTCCTATTCTTGAAGAGGATCTCAAAACCTCAGTATCTCTCCTGCACCAATAAATCAATGCTTTAGCAGCAGCAGCAGAAAATTGCAGCGTGTCCAGGTTACCCGCCTCGGCTGTCAGACAACAAATTATTACTTGCAAGGGTTTAGGAGGCCAAGCATAACTCTTCCCCTGATCCTACACTTGGTTAGGTCACTGCTGATGTCTCCAGTGGGATTGTGCACTGTCTTTTTCTCATGAGTGGCATGGTAACCATTATGCTAGGCTGAGACTAATATGTTCTGTCAGTTTTACTCGGCTGAGTGGCCACTCAGTTCGTGAGATAGGGAAATATGACAATATTCAGAAAAAAAGATTTAATTTAAAGCCTTGTTTTGTTATTTTGTCAACGTGTCTTAATTTGTTATCTAGTAACAAACCACTGTATTGGCTGATTAATCAACCAATATGTGGCCATATGGAGTTTTTTAATTTATTGCGTCAGCTGAAAACCATGTCTTTGTTCCAGCAGTTTTTTTTTTGTTTTTTTTGCATTTGATATGAAATACTTTTGGGAAGTTGGCATATCCTGTGCTATATGTAATCTAAAACACCTTTAAACACAATTCTGCTAATTAACTTATAATTATCATCTCATTTTTATCATCTTGCATAAAATTAGTATACTTTTAAAAATGTAATTGTCATTAACAATTTTAACCATTAACCATCTAACAATTTTAAATAATAACTGGTGAAAAAATGGTGACCAGTCAATATATACCTTCCTTTATACATTAATATATTAACCTAAATTTAAAATTAAAATTGGTCTTGATTAAATAAATGTTTATCGACAAAGGAAATTATATATGCGGCCATCAGCAGAAAAAATAATTAATTTGCTTTTATATATACAGTATATATATATATATATATACTGTATATATTGTTTAAGCAATTTTGCAATGTGCTTTTGTATTTTTTATTAGTTCTTTACATATCTATTTAACTTTAATTTGTTTTCATTTCATTGTTATTTAACAATAATAGTACTGATTTCTTGATCCCTATTTTTCCTATTGCAGCATTAAAATGTAATCTAAATTCTTATTCTGTACTGTAGACTTTAAAAATAAAAAAAGATTAGTAAACCTAAATTTTCTTTTTCTTTTCTTATTTGTCACATGACCCAAACCATCAATAGGTATCTTCAGGTACTGATCTAAGATAACACTAGAACATTTAAATCACAAATGCTTGCAAAAAGAGCTGTTCAAAAATCAGTGCCTATAGAGGCAAGTTGCTCTTCATGTGTAAGGTAACACTGAAGCATTGAAACTTTGTATGTCAAGTTAGGCATTCATAAAGAAAAATCATTCAAATACATGTGCTCTACTGAGTGAGAAAGCAGTAAAATTAATGTGGTACAGTACAGAAAATAACTCAAGGGTTGCAGAAGGAATTTCTTGGTTAGATGTGCAATAAAAAAACAAAAAGTAAAGAAACAAAACTATTTAAATAAAATATGTGACGAGTCATTTTATTGCTTTCCACCATAAATGAAATGGAAAATTTTCTTGGGCTGATCCCAGCAGAGCACTGGCCCCTGAATCAGACAATGTTCATGAAATAACATCATCCTCCAGCGGCTCACTCTCGTGCACAGCCGACGATTGCGAAACGGAAACCCCTCTTCAAACTCATCGGCCAGATCCACCTGCGATCCCCACGAGTTCATTCCCTTCCGTGCCTCAGCAGCAGCGGGTCCTGAATCGCGGGAAGCAGACAGCTGCCCCTTTTTCCTCGAAAAGAGAGACAAATGAGAGCGGAGCTTTTCCCTTGGAAAGAACGCTCACAGTGCACGCCGATTGCCCCGTGGAGGCATCGCGTGTGTGCTCTTCGCCCAAACAAATAACGCATAGATCGCGTGTGTCATCAGATGTTAAACAACGTCAACACGGATGCACACATCCTTAAACGCTTTGCCAGTGCTCGCCATAATGAGATGAATAGAGATCGCTCTTACCACAGAAATGCACGCTTCAAACAAAACAGTCAATTAAGACGAAGAAGAGAATGATGTGTGCTCTCGGCGCCTATTTATACTATAGTCGCACCGGTAGTGACGTCATGGCTGTCGCTGGCCAACAAGTTGCTGATTTTTCAATGTATGCTTCAGACACGGGTCACGACGAGGCGTTCCCCATAGCGACCCCTAGAGGACCCAGTTCAAAGTTCCCATGAAAGGGAACAGCATCTTACAGTAAAATTACATAAAATGCAGTAGAATTTTTCACTATTAAAAGGTTTTTATTGTCACATTTTTACAGTCTTTTTCGGTAAATATTACAATCATTTCTTTGAAGTGTACAGTTGATGTGTGTGTGTATGCATATATGCGTAATATAGTTTACTTATTTTAATGGACCTATTTGAATTTGCTTTACTCTGATGATCTCCATAAGTTTATTTTGCGAAACTTTTTTTTAGTAAGGTTCAGTAGCTGAGCTGAAAGCAGCAGAAGGTTCACTGCCCTATGTTGGGAGAGTAAAAGGGTGCACACATTTTAGCAAAAGGAATGAAGCCAGTATGACACTGTAAACTCAACAAGAGCATATTGTTCTATTTTTAAGTTTTAAATTTTGTTCTATTTTGACTGATTTCCATGACTGATTTTAAAATATCTGTTTCTAAATCCTCATTAAAACCACATAGCAAGCAATCTACACAAAATATATCTCCGTGTAGAGCATGGCTAAACTATGAGATTTAGCTGTTTTCAGATCTCAGCATAACACTTTCCAACCTGCACTCATTCTTTACATTAGCAGAAGTTCCACCTGTGGCATTCAATCTGCACAAACCCCAGTGGAGAAGAAAATGCAAGTGTGTGATAGTCTACTATACCTTTCACCAATACGTTTTGACAGGTTTTGATACAGAGACAGGTGTAAATACCTGTTTGGTCCACATCTGTTTTCCATTTCGTGCATTCCAGGTATCCATACTGACAGGATGGTCTGCGCTTTTCATCCATCACACGCCACTGAAGCCAAATCTAATACAAATACCTTCACTTAGTTAAGATAGGTAAAGCAAGAAAGCTTACTAAATGCAGCGGATCCAGCGGTTCTCGTTGCTGAGGAAAATCGCGACGGCTGTGGATAAATAGATATCATTACGCAGCGGCAGCGGTTGCACTGCTGTTCCTGGCTCCTTGACGACATCTTGTGGTCATCATCAACAACAACAACAACAATTTTTGTGCCGCCAGGGTACCTTCAATTTTATTTCATAATGCTTCATCATCATCCTCATCCTCATCATCATCAAAAAAAAAGTTTTAAACATTGCAGTTGTGTGAATAAATCTGGACCCAAGTTTTTAAAAATAATTTTAAAATGTTACATTTACATAGTATATGTATTTACAAAACCAGAGGTCAAATCAACAATTGTGCAAACTTTTGGCATAAATGAATGCCATAAAACTAAAAGAAATAGAACTGAATTAGGTTAACCTAATAATATTATTGTGATTATATGTTTGTTCTTTAAAATAAATGGCTGGAATAACTGGTAGACTGGGATTATTGGGGTCAGTTCAGAACTGCTGGGAAAGAACCCCAAAATATAATTCAGAATGTACAGAGATTGATGCGAAGAAGTCAGATCAAAATATTGGCACCACTAATCATTGTTTTAAAGAAAGACTTTGACCCATGACCAGCTTGATGCACAATACAAACTTTCAAAGCTTGAACCATTTGTGTAACAATAGTGCTGTTGTACACATATCAATCACATAGACAGTAATACAAATTCACATTCTTTATGCTTTTTCATTTTAAAATGTTTTTGATGCTATACAAACTTCTTATGGAAGGTCCCAAATGTAAACATGTATAGTGGGATAAGAATAAAAGCATAAAACAAAGAATGTATCAAATAAGTGCAAAGGTAATGTCAGTTTCTCTGAAACACTTGGTCATGTGGCATGTATTTTATGTTATACAGACATACTAATCACTGTACATTATTCCTGCATTATAATGTACTTGGTTTTTCTGGTGGAAAATCCAGATGAAAGAATTCTCTCCTTCACATGTACTTAAAGTGTACATATTAAGGAACAGGTTGATTGTTGAAGCAGAAAACAAGTTCAAGTAAATCCAAAGTCTTTGAGAAGCTCAATACCATGACTGCATTAGTGTTAGTGAGTTAGCTGTGTTACACATTAAAATACTTCCTGGACCGATCATCTTGTGATTCACAGATAAGAGTATTTATTGCAGTAAAGCCTGCTTGGTGAAGTGTCTTAGCTGATCATTTGATCACATGGTGACACTACTGCACAATGCATTGTTTAAAACACAATACACACAACATACTGCAAGAGTCCAGAACTGGCCTTTATGTTGACAGCAAGCATCCTCCATCTCGATCCTTGTTCATTTAGTCGATTATTCCAGCAAACGTGTTAATGGGCAGAGTCAGTCCTTTGCTCATGTATTTACTCAGTCCAACATCACTGTTGCCTTCTGCCATGAACTTTGACTTTAAGGATTTTTGAACATAATATCCAGGGTCTCGACATGGAGCAACCTCAATGCTGTGTTAGAAAATATAATACAATGCAACGAAATCATTGTTTTCAATCAGTATTATTTCTAATCATTATCACTCTAAGAAAAAGGCATTATTTATTCTTCCTTCATATTCTATATTTTATTTATTTTTTTAAATCAAGTAAATCTTGGATTCAAATTGTTTAAGATTACACTACTGTTCAAAAGTTTGAGGTGAGTAAGAGTTTTTTTTATACGTAATACTTTTATTTACCAAGGATGCATTAAATTAATCCAAAGTGACAGCAAAACTTTTACGTTGTTACTAAAAAATTATATTACAAATTAATGCTGTTCTTTTGAACTGTGACAATAATAAGAAATGTTAATTGAGCACCAAATCAACATTTTATAATGATTTCTGGAGGATCATGTGACACTGAAGACTGGAGTAAAGGCTGCTGACAAATCAGCTTTGCTATCAAAGGAATACATATTTTTTTGAATATATTAAAATAGAAAAAAAAGTTATTTTAAACAGTGATAATATTTTAAAATACTGTTTTCACTGTATTTTTGATCGAATAAATGCAGCCTTAGTGAGCATATGAGACCTCATTCAAAAATAAAAATAAAAATCTTACCAACCCCACACTTTTGAATGGTAGAGTAGATAATGGGCCTCTTAATTAAAAAGATAACATGAGGGAAAAAAGCCTTGATTTCTCACCTCTCAACGTTCATAAATTTTCTTCGAAAGTCTTTGTCCAAACGCACTGTGAAAGTTGATCTGTCAGGTGACTTCAATTTAAAATTGCATGTTCTGATCTTTGTCTCCTAAAAAAAAATAAAAAATCACAGCATAAATATCTGAACTTAATCAGATATAAGTTGTATTTACTTCTCATGACAGCCAAGCCAAAAGCACTTCACAGTTAAACATGAGCAACATAAAAGCAGAAAGTGAAAAAGATCATATATAAGTTATCTATTTATCTAAGAAAGAAAGAAAGAAAAGAAAAGTATGTAGTTTTCTCAGTTTGGCCTAGTCAGACCTACCATGATACTTGTTGGCTTTATGTTATTGAAAGCGACCATGAGACAGTTGAGATCTACAAAGTGGGAAGTAAAAATAGTAATTCACTTAAAATTGTTCAGGTTAAAGTTAATGTTTATCTAAATTGATTAACGAAAAAAAAAACTTTTATTCAAATAACTTAACTTTACCTTCAGTTTTGTTTTGTGGTATTGCTGAAATCTGAGCACCTGTGGTTCTGAGTGAGAACCCTCTCTCAACCTCCCTGTTGCTTAGCGACACCTAAAAGGAATGTGAAGGGCCATATGAGGTCAACTATGATTTGCTGGTCATTTAATTTTTAATTCTAGAAAAAACATCCAGAATGTTTCTTTGTAACTAAAGAATGTCACTGACTGGAAAACTGACCAATCAGCAACACCAGTCATTTCATATGTGACTATGTACATGAATGTACTGTATAAATACTCTAATAACAAAAGACAGCAGAAGTGATACTCACTTTTAAGTAGCTAAACGAGATCAGTGCCCCACACAGCTCGGCAGGCATCTTCCTCTGTTTGACAGTGTCTAAGGAAAGAATATGGGCTGTAAATATTGGCTGAATGAACCGATGGCCTAAATTAGGTATCGCATTGACTGTACTTATCCTGAATTTTGTTATTGAATACCTTTTTGTGTAGCTTGGGCCATTCTGAACTCTGGAAAATCCACTTCCAGGTCTGTGACAAAAACTTCTTCCACAGCTTCTTTGGACTTGTCGGAAAAGTAAATCTGGACAAATAGAACAGAGCATAAAAACAAGACTGGTATTTTTTAATTCGGAAAGTGTTCTGTAGTGTAGATCATTTAACAGCTTAAATAATGACCTAAATAACTTGACCTGTGGCTCAATATGGAACAGAGTTTATCACTCTTTACACTTTCTCTTGTTCTTTTTATGCTGCTTTCACATCTTTTATGTTTATTTTGTATATTACATATTTATTGCAAACTTCAGAGTAAATATCAACAACAATAACAACAACAACAAAAATCTACATGCAAACTTACTTGGTGATTAAATTACACCTGAATCTCATACCATCAGCTGGAAAAAAAAATGATCGCATACAACATGTCATTCATTCTCACCTTAACGTAGTAAATGTTGAAGTACACCGGCTGCTGTCCCATGCGCACATAGTACGAGATGATGTCAGCTAAGAAAAGGTCAGATTCATGTGGTTTGCCAGTGCTGGACTGGAAGATTAAAAATAAAACAAAGCAGAACAATTTGCATTTTTTAAGTTAATTATAATTTAAAGTCCTACTGACATCATTCATTAGGAGTGATGTTCGATGACTCTTGAATGTGCACTTGTACTTCAAATCTTAAAAGTATATATTAAAAAAAAACAAAAAAACTAATGTACTTGCAGATAATATACATTAAAGAAATAAAAGGCCACTTAAGTGTACTTAAAGAGAGTACACCTTCATGACTGTTTCGTAGCACACTTAAATACAATTTTAAAAAATAAGTACAACCCCAATTCCTGAAAAGATGAAATCAAGAAAATGTTATTCTGTCAGGACCACAATCGTCAAAGATAACTGACAATTAGCATACAGTTTAGATTGGTGGTATGGTTCTGTTCTGGGCAAGAACTCCCTGCGCATCCATGCAGACTAGCATGGATGAGAGCAGGGAGAGCAGCGATAATCCCCCTAGGATAAACAGACTAGAACCAACATAAATGGATTGCAGATATCATTAATATTCAATAATTTAATGTACAAATTTTAGAAATTAGTCTGATTCAAAGGGGAATCAGAAGGCCAAATCCTGACTGGATGAGAGGAGGAGTTGGGGATGGAGGAGGGTAACTAGCTATTAAGCCAACACGAAGCTGCTAATAATACTGAAGACGCTTATATATGGATGCTGTGGTAGGTGTCAATTCCCTATAGGTACACGTGGATCAGCTGAGAGTCAGCTGATGCGAGCTTGACTAACGTGACCTGCCAGAAAACAAATTTTGATTTTGATGGCTGCAACACACTCCAAAAAAGTTGGGACAAAGGCATGTTTAACACTGTGTCACATCAACTTTCCTTTTCATTACAATGTTTAACTGTTTGGTAATTGAGGATACTAATTGTTAAAGTTCTGCAAGCAACATTTTTGTCCAATCTCGCTTGATACTAGACTTCAGATGCTCAGCAGTCCATGGTCGTCATTGTCTGATTCTCCTTTTCATGACTGGTCATACATTTTAAATATGAGACAGATCTGATCTGCAGGCAGGTAGCACATTCACTCTGTGTCTACAAAACCACACTGTTGTAGCACATGCAGAATGAGACCTAGCATTGTCTTGATCTAATAACCATGGACTTCTCATGAAAGACATCACCTTGATGGCAGCATGTCTCTGTACAATTCCAATATATGCCTCCATGTCAATGGTACCTTCACACATAATCCAGTCACCCATGCCGTTTGCTCTGCTGCACCCATATACCATGACAGACGTTTGCTTTTGCATCTGTCGCTGATGAA